CCCCCCCCAGCCATAATTCAGTCTCCCCATGAGTTAGGTAGGCCCGGTGTATCGCTTGCATTACGATGCTGTTTGACTTTGCCTGGTTTACAGAGTGGCCCCTGTCCCTCTATAAGCATCTTGTCCTAGTAACTTCCCTGCCACCAGTGTGTCAGCACCCGCAAACCACCAGCTACAGACCGCACCTTCTCTTTCAGTTCATGGCCAAACCGCGGACTAGCACGCACCAAGAACACGCTCTCAGTCCTTCTAGGGGATTACTGCCCAGTTAGCAACTGCACTTCGCAAACCATCAGCTGGCCAGCATTCAACCCGTTACCCCAGACCATACTGAGTCATGCGTGCTAGCTTTTCATCACCGGAACGTGAAATGCTGAATTCTCGCCTGCCACGATCCCGGGCGGCGTTTCCTGCCTTGCATTCCCCGACAGAACCATTCCTCCCACACCTTTTTCCAAGTGCTCACCTCTCACACGACTTCCTACGTTCCCCACTCACACGACTTCCTACGCTCCCCACAGCAACCCGTCTGCTCTTTCCGAGCCCCTCACCCCAACACACCCCCTGCCCCCTTCCACAGGCTGTCCTCTTGCTCAGCTTGCTCCATTCATGCCTCCATCAAACCACCCCCAAGCAGCTCTCTTGCCTCCACCTGCCTCTGCAGCTACGGCCCCTCTCCCTTCTCTTCCACGTTCACTGTGTGCCCTGACAGCCGCTGCTTCAAGCTCCTCTCCTCCACCTCCCCGTGCTCCCCTCTGGTCTAGTTTCCATTCCGCTGAAGCCATCTCACAGCTGTTCGCACAATTCCCTCTCCTCCTCGACTTCACAGCCTGGCCTCTCTTGACTTACAACTGCAGCTGGTTCTGGTCTGATCACTCCATTGGCACACCCTTCTCGTCCCCTCCCCCCGCAGCGGGCTGCATGCATATCGCCTGTAGTGCCATGTAGCGCCCACGGGCACTTTGCACCTCCCCCCGTCTGACAGTCTCAATGGCTTAGTCCCCCTCTGTGCAGCCCAGGCAGCTCCCTTTGCAGTGGTGTGAGAAGAGCAGGGCTAACCGGTAAACTCCTGCCATTAACTGACTTGCCAGTGCGTGCAAATCTTTCACCTGGGTCAGATCCGCACTGCGACCCAGTGCCAGGCAAGGAGAAAGGGGCGGAGGAGTGGAAGGCAATCAACACAGCTGTAATTATTAGTGGGGTAAGAAGGGAAGGAGGGATTCAGTCTCAATATTGCCCCTCCAAAAAGCAGATGGCCAAACCCTTGGCAGGACAAGGAGACGGCAGAGCTCTTTGATAGCCAAGCATGGCTCCGTCTCGCCCAGTTAACTCCCTCCCGGCTTCTTACTTCAGCTTTGGTTTAGGAGTGCTCAGGACACTGTCGTCATCTTCCATCTCAGGGCCGCTGTCGCTGGGGTTCTCTATATCCAGCGTGTCGTAGAGGAGGTCCAAGTCTTCCTCCACTTCTGGCACGTGCTCCGCTGGGTCCTGCTCTGAATCCAGAACCTAAGCACAAGACACGTGGCTACAGCAGGCAGCATGGAAATCACGGAGACACCGACTCATCTCACAGCATCTGGGCAACAGGCTGGCATTCCTCGTCGCCTCTGGAAGCCAGGCCAGTCTGCACACTGTGCTGCGAGGGCCGTGGAGCACTTGCACACGGAACTGTGGGGACTAGAGATGGTGCACGAGCACACCAGGAAACGGTGCTCTGAGCAACCCGGCCCCCGGGAGCTATTCATCTTTAACAAGTTATTAAGCTACTAACACACTTACTGATCATTTGACAGCTCTTTAGAAATGGAACTTCAGAGGGGGGCGAGTTAGAAGCGTTCTACCAAGAGCCCAAAGCCAGACCTAGTCCATCCCGTGTTCTCCCTCGAGCACCCCTAACCTCGAGGACGTGGCTCCGGCGCCTTCGGATGTCTTGTTGAGCAAAGGGGTGGGGGCTGTGTCCAGAGTACTAACACACTTACTGATCATTTGACAGCTCTTTAGAAATGGAACTTCAGAGGGGGGCGAGTTAGAAGCGTTCTACCAAGAGCCCAAAGCCAGACCTAGTCCATCCCGTGTTCTCCCTCGAGCACCCCTAACCTCGAGGACGTGGCTCCGGCGCCTTCGGATGTCTTGTTGAGCAAAGGGGTGGGGGCTATGTCCAGAGGAGGGTTCCCGCCGTAGCAGACCCAGATTAACAAGAATCTAACAACGTCCTTAAACCAGAACGCCCAGCAGCTTCCTGCCTTGTGGGAGAGCAAGGGGGATAAAGCACCTGTCCTCCTGGTGTCAATCCTAGAGCCAGCACTAGAGGGCAGCAGCACAGCTGGCCCCATGGTGACTGCCACACTGCCGCAGCCCAGTTACTTCTTCCTGCCTCCGAACAGTAGTATTTTGCAGGTAGTGCACCCCCCACAAGCAGGTGGCCTCCTCGAGGAGAGGAGCATGGCTGCAGCGAGGGTTTAGGGACAGGGACTCTACCGAGGGAGGAATGACACGAGAACTGGGCATCAAGGAAGCATGGTCACTTTGCGCCATGAGATACGGGTACCCAACAGCTGAGGGACCCACAGGCCAGCACGAACAGTAGTATTTTGCAGGTAGTGCACCCCCCACAAGCAGGTGGCCTCCTCGAGGAGAGGAGCATGGCTGCAGCGAGGGTTTAGGGACAGGGACTCTACCGAGGGAGGAATGACACGAGAACTGGGCATCAAGGAAGCATGGTCACTTTGCGCCATGAGATACGGGTACCCAACAGCTGAGGGACCCACAGGCCAGCACCCCTCCTTTCCCTTCACAGCTCTGTCTGGAGGAACAAGGAACCACTGGGGAGCGAGCCGCTTCCAGGGGAGTCATCTGACTAGTAGCCGGCAGGACCATTATACAAAATGTTCCCACGTGCTTGTCCTTTTCAGCTTTTACCAGATGGTTTACGGTCTTAGGATTTTTGTTCGCTTGTTTCCTGTGAAAACGAAGTGGTTTGCTGAGATTTACAAGCAAGGCTGTAAGAAAACAAGCTGTGAGCTGACCTCATGGGTTGTGTAAGCCAACAAACCGACAGGTTGTCTTTGAAAGGGTCACAGTCTGCAGGCAAGTGGGTGCACAAGTGTCCTGTAAAATCTCTGACCAAACCACACCTGGAAACCTTGGTGGGTTTCTGATGTCAGTTCTCAACCTGCTCTGTTCAACCGGGGTCCAAAGAGCCTCCGACAAAGATAGCGGGAATCAGGACAGATTCGAGAAGGCAAGTGAGAGAAAGGAGGAAAACCGACCTGGCGTGAGCCGGACCTGGCTGAACGTGAAAGTCTGAGGGACAAGGGAGTGTTAACGAACTTACCTCGTCAGACACTTTAAACCGTCTCAGCAAGGCCACCACTTTCTGCTTGAAGTTCTGTTGCTGTAAGACAAAGACACTTGTACGTTGCAAGAGGGAGCGTGCCGGCAGCTAGACCCGGATACGCTGACGGCTCCCAAGCAGAGCCACGCATGCGCTTGACTCAGCCCCAGGGGCTGCGCTACCTCCTTTCTGCCTTGGTGCCATGCCCCAGCAGCACGGAATCCCCCGTTCACACAGTTCTACCCATGTTCAGATCAGTTCAGATCTGCAGCAGAATGAAACCAGTCTCGGCTTTCCCAGAACGTTTCAGACCTGGGCTGTTGGGCTTAGCAAACAAGTTTTGCAAAGCTCTCGTGAAAACATATATGGGCCACGGCGCCCAAGAACCTGCCCAGCGAGCTGCAAGAGTAGCTGCTACTCCAGCGGGGGAACACAATGCCAACAGACCACTCTTAGTGAAGGCTAGCTCCTCACTGTGCTGGCTACGCTCTCACACAGCCCAGCCCAGAGTCACAAAGAGAAGACCGAAGTGGGGCTTCTCATTCTGCATTTGAACACCTGCCCGACTTCAGACACGTGCCTAAACGTGACTTCGGGAGCGGTGTGAAAATCCTTGCTTCTAAGTTCTTAGCACATACCATACACACCACAGTGCGGACGCCAGCAGGGCCAGCTACTATCGTGGGTTTAGGGTGGCCATAACAAAGCCACTAGATAAAAAGTTCCTCTCACACAAATGAATGTGAACCCTGGTTTGTGAGATGCAGGCTGCAATTGATTTCGTGACCATGTGCTGAGTGTGGGGTAATGGCAGAACGGCACAAGCTATGGTACAAGTTGTTCATGCCGTAAATTTGTAGAGGGGCTGTGTCACCCCGCTCTGCTTGCTGCAATTGCCCCTCCTTCCCCCACATCCTGCAAGCCCCACAGAATCTAGACAAAGTCTAAGTTTTTGTTTGTTTTAATTATGTCGCCTCTAAGGCCAAGCTGCTGTATTAACATACAACCCTCTTCCCCGTGAAAAAAGTGATTAATTTAGAAAATGCAGCTTTTATGATTGTATCCAGTTATGGTTCTGCAGGTTTCAGATCCAATGTCTGACTAAATGCCAGGCCTAGAAACTGATTCATATCATGAGAAAGCTGCTTCACTTAGTGGTCAAGATGCATAATTCTGTCCCCAGTTATCAAAATAAACAAACTATCATTGATCCAGGCACAAACAACTAGTACACTGGCATCTAATGATTTCTCATCACCCTCATTTAGGGGAAACTAGACACTTCCTTTAGTGCCAATTACTTTTATTTGAAAAAATGTGGCCTATTTAAAATATCAGAGAGACTTATGCAGTCGGAAATGGTGCCAGTGGAAGTAAAGGAGCGTGTGGACTGGCCGTCAGGCCCAGGTCCAAAGTAAACCCTACTTATTCCGTGGTTCTGCAAGAAAGGGATTTAGCTCAGCGCCTAAAGGTATCCTCGTTTCATACGTGGCAGATACCATCTACAAAAAACCTGAAGCCATCGTTAAGGTTGCCACACTCAAAGGCAAGTTTAAATTTTAGCATAAAGCCTGACTCCATCCCCTTGTGTGCCATCAGCATGACCGTGTAGAACAGCACGTCGTTTATCGGGTACCCAACAATTTGATACTGCAGGAGGAGTCTGCGGCCTGACCCACTTTATTGTGTCAGACCCGCTCTCCACTATCTCGCTTTGGACCGCTCATCTGGCCTGACCTCACGCAGAGGGCCAGCAAAAGGCCTCTGGTCTACATCAGGCCTTCTGAGACTTACACACACATGAACCTGGTACTAGCCTCGGCACAGGTCAGTTTCACTTGTAAGTGATTCTCTAGGGTTCTCATCTCACAGGCAGCACAAGGGGGGCACACACAGGGAAGGCGGTCAGCACTCGCTGTACTTGGAGCGATACTTCGATCGCTTTTCCACCTCCTGCGATTAGCTCGGATTTCACCGCTGGGATGGTTGTGTGTCTAGCTCTGTAACTCTCTCGAGCTGCATGCACATCCTGGCCAAACCCCGTCAGTGTTAGTAAAACTAATTTCCACCGACCCTGGTTATGGACGTCGTTCTTACTATCGATCTCCGCTGCTTCTTGGGCTTCCCCAGCTCATATTCATCGTCGTCCAAATCCTACGCAGAAAGAAAGTCTGATTTTATACTGCCCACAACCCAAACAAGGGTTCCAGGTATTACTCTGCAACTCAACATGTGCCGGGGACTGATCAGTATTGTATGTGTGCACAGGCCTCGTCTACGCTACAGTGTTAGGTCAGCCCTAAGCCATCTTGGGTAGGCCTCATTACCTCAGCATCTACACTACAGCCTTGCTTCTGCCCATGTAAGTGCCCTATCACGAATACTGCATACAGCTGCGATCGCCTCATCTCAAAAAGATACACTGGCATTGGAAACGGTTCAGAAAAGGGCAATATTTATGCTGAGGGGTTTGGAACGGATCCCATATGAAGAGAGATTAAAAGACTTGGACTTTTCAGCTTAGAAAAGAGGAGACTAAGGGGGACATGATAGAGGTCTATAAAATCATGAGTGGTGTGGAGAAAGTGAATACGGAAAAGTGATCGACATAGTCCCACAATATAAGAACTAGGGGTCACCAAATGAAATAAATAGGCAGCAGGTTTAAAAACAAACAAAAGGAAGTTTTTCTTCACTTAGCAAGTAGCCAACCTGTGGAACTCCTCGCCAGAGGAGGTGGTGAAGGCCAGGACTTTAACAGGGTTGAAAAGAGAGCTCGATAGATTCGTGGAGGTTAGGTCCCTCAATGACTATTAGCCAGGATGGGTGGGAGTGGTGCCCCTACCCTCTGTCTGGAGGTGGGTGACAGGGGAGGGATCACGTGAGGATTCCCTGTTGTGTCCCCTCCGTCTGGGGCACCTGGCATTGGCCACTGTCAGCAGACAGGACACTGGGCTGGCTGGACCTTTGCTCTGACCTAGTCTGGCTGTTCTTATGTTCTATCATGCCAGCATCGTGACTTCACATGGACAAGCCCTACACCCCTCGTGGGGCTGGTTAGGTGACAGTTTCCTGCACTGACAAGCTGTTGACTATCATGCTTGTCGATTTTACTGCTCTGCGTGGAACCAGTGAATTGACCAGAAAGCCGACCGGCTCCATGCTGCGACCCACACGCCCGGCTCACAGCTTGTGCTGTCACCCCAGGCCAGGTGGTGGGGCACCAGATACAGCCCAGTTGCTGTCCAGGTTCCCCACTCTGCCCCGGGCTCCCAGCCCCGTGCTGGGAGCCAGCCTGTAGCCCCTCACACTGCTCCTCCTAAGTCAGCGGGGCTTGTCTTGACGAGAACACTCCCCACTGACAGGAACCGAGGGGGCTGGAAATGCAACTAATATGGGTTGAGCCTCAGTCTCCACCAGCCCTGAGTCAAGACTAGCAGAGACCTGGACTGATCCAGCACAGAAAGGGAGTGTTGAAAAGGCAGAGAGACTGAAACCCTAGGAGTGCAGCTGCTGCTTCTCCAGCACACCCAGAGCAGCCCCTCTCCTGCTCTCTGCTCTCTCGGCTTTCGCTGCACATCCGTCTCCAGCTGCAGCATGGAAAGCCAGGCCCCCAAGGGGAGTGGAATTCCCAGAGCCAAGTGAGCCTGCCAGGCCCCCAAGGGGAGCGGAATTCCCAGAGCCAAGTGAGCCTGCCAGGCCCCCAAGGGGAGCGGAATTCCCAGAGCCAAGTGAGCCTGCCAGGCCCCCAAGGGGAGCGGAATTCCCAGAGCCAAGTGAGCCTGCCAGGCCCCCAAGGGGAGCGGAATTCCCAGAGCCAAGTGAGCCTGCCAGGCCCCCAAGGGGAGCGGAATTCCCAGAGCCAAGTGAGCCTGCCAGGCCCCCAAGGGGAGCGGAATTCCCAGAGCCAAGTGAGCCTGCCAGGCCCCCAAGGGGAGCGGAATTCCCAGAGCCAAGTGAGCCTGCCAGGCCCCCAAGGGGAGCGGAATTCCCAGAGCCAAGTGAGCCTGCCAGGCCCCCAAGGGGAGCGGAATTCCCAGAGCCAAGTGAGCCTGCCAGGCCCCCAAGGGGAGCGGAATTCCCAGAGCCAAGTGAGCCTGCCAGGCCCCCAAGGGGAGCGGAATTCCCAGAGCCAAGTGAGCCTGCCAGGCCCCCAAGGGGAGCGGAATTCCCAGAGCCAAGTGAGCCTGCCAGGCCCCCAAGGGGAGCGGAATTCCCAGAGCCAAGTGAGCCTGCCAGGCCCCCAAGGGGAGCGGAATTCCCAGAGCCAAGTGAGCCTGCCAGGCCCCCAAGGGGAGCGGAATTCCCAGAGCCAAGTGAGCCTGCCAGGCCCCCAAGGGGAGCGGAATTCCCAGAGCCAAGTGAGCCTGCCAGGCCCCCAAGGGGAGCGGAATTCCCAGAGCCAAGTGAGCCTGCCAGGCCCCCAAGGGGAGCGGAATTCCCAGAGCCAAGTGAGCCTGCCAGGCCCCCAAGGGGAGCGGAATTCCCAGAGCCAAGTGAGCCTGCCAGGCCCCCAAGGGGAGCGGAATTCCCAGAGCCAAGTGAGCCTGCCAGGCCCCCAAGGGGAGCGGAATTCCCAGAGCCAAGTGAGCCTGCCAGGCCCCCAAGGGGAGCGGAATTCCCAGAGCCAAGTGAGCCTGCCAGGCCCCCAAGGGGAGCGGAATTCCCAGAGCCAAGTGAGCCTGCCAGGCCCCCAAGGGGAGCGGAATTCCCAGAGCCAAGTGAGCCTGCCAGGCCCCCAAGGGGAGCGGAATTCCCAGAGCCAAGTGAGCCTGCCAGGCCCCCAAGGGGAGCGGAATTCCCAGAGCCAAGTGAGCCTGCCAGGCCCCCAAGGGGAGCGGAATTCCCAGAGCCAAGTGAGCCTGCCAGGCCCCCAAGGGGAGCGGAATTCCCAGAGCCAAGTGAGCCTGCCAGGCCCCCAAGGGGAGCGGAATTCCCAGAGCCAAGTGAGCCTGCCAGGCCCCCAAGGGGAGCGGAATTCCCAGAGCCAAGTGAGCCTGCCAGGCCCCCAAGGGGAGCGGAATTCCCAGAGCCAAGTGAGCCTGCCAGGCCCCCAAGGGGAGCGGAATTCCCAGAGCCAAGTGAGCCTGCCAGGCCCCCAAGGGGAGCGGAATTCCCAGAGCCAAGTGAGCCTGCCAGGCCCCCAAGGGGAGCGGAATTCCCAGAGCCAAGTGAGCCTGCCAGGCCCCCAAGGGGAGCGGAATTCCCAGAGCCAAGTGAGCCTGCCAGGCCCCCAAGGGGAGCGGAATTCCCAGAGCCAAGTGAGCCTGCCAGGCCCCCAAGGGGAGCGGAATTCCCAGAGCCAAGTGAGCCTGCCAGGCCCCCAAGGGGAGCGGAATTCCCAGAGCCAAGTGAGCCTGCCAGGCCCCCAAGGGGAGCGGAATTCCCAGAGCCAAGTGAGCCTGCCAGGCCCCCAAGGGGAGCGGAATTCCCAGAGCCAAGTGAGCCTGCCAGGCCCCCAAGGGGAGCGGAATTCCCAGAGCCAAGTGAGCCTGCCAGGCCCCCAAGGGGAGCGGAATTCCCAGAGCCAAGTGAGCCTGCCAGGCCCCCAAGGGGAGCGGAATTCCCAGAGCCAAGTGAGCCTGCCAGGCCCCCAAGGGGAGCGGAATTCCCAGAGCCAAGTGAGCCTGCCAGGCCCCCAAGGGGAGCGGAATTCCCAGAGCCAAGTGAGCCTGCCAGGCCCCCAAGGGGAGCGGAATTCCCAGAGCCAAGTGAGCCTGCCAGGCCCCCAAGGGGAGCGGAATTCCCAGAGCCAAGTGAGCCTGCCAGGCCCCCAAGGGGAGCGGAATTCCCAGAGCCAAGTGAGCCTGCCAGGCCCCCAAGGGGAGCGGAATTCCCAGAGCCAAGTGAGCCTGCCAGGCCCCCAAGGGGAGCGGAATTCCCAGAGCCAAGTGAGCCTGCCAGGCCCCCAAGGGGAGCGGAATTCCCAGAGCCAAGTGAGCCTGCCAGGCCCCCAAGGGGAGCGGAATTCCCAGAGCCAAGTGAGCCTGCCAGGCCCCCAAGGGGAGCGGAATTCCCAGAGCCAAGTGAGCCTGCCAGGCCCCCAAGGGGAGCGGAATTCCCAGAGCCAAGTGAGCCTGCCAGGCCCCCAAGGGGAGCGGAATTCCCAGAGCCAAGTGAGCCTGCCAGGCCCCCAAGGGGAGCGGAATTCCCAGAGCCAAGTGAGCCTGCCAGGCCCCCAAGGGGAGCGGAATTCCCAGAGCCAAGTGAGCCTGCCAGGCCCCCAAGGGGAGCGGAATTCCCAGAGCCAAGTGAGCCTGCCAGGCCCCCAAGGGGAGCGGAATTCCCAGAGCCAAGTGAGCCTGCCAGGCCCCCAAGGGGAGCGGAATTCCCAGAGCCAAGTGAGCCTGCCAGGCCCCCAAGGGGAGCGGAATTCCCAGAGCCAAGTGAGCCTGCCAGGCCCCCAAGGGGAGCGGAATTCCCAGAGCCAAGTGAGCCTGCCAGGCCCCCAAGGGGAGCGGAATTCCCAGAGCCAAGTGAGCCTGCCAGGCCCCCAAGGGGAGCGGAATTCCCAGAGCCAAGTGAGCCTGCCAGGCCCCCAAGGGGAGCGGAATTCCCAGAGCCAAGTGAGCCTGCCAGGCCCCCAAGGGGAGCGGAATTCCCAGAGCCAAGTGAGCCTGCCAGGCCCCCAAGGGGAGCGGAATTCCCAGAGCCAAGTGAGCCTGCCAGGCCCCCAAGGGGAGCGGAATTCCCAGAGCCAAGTGAGCCTGCCAGGCCCCCAAGGGGAGCGGAATTCCCAGAGCCAAGTGAGCCTGCCAGGCCCCCAAGGGGAGCGGAATTCCCAGAGCCAAGTGAGCCTGCCAGGCCCCCAAGGGGAGCGGAATTCCCAGAGCCAAGTGAGCCTGCCAGGCCCCCAAGGGGAGCGGAATTCCCAGAGCCAAGTGAGCCTGCCAGGCCCCCAAGGGGAGCGGAATTCCCAGAGCCAAGTGAGCCTGCCAGGCCCCCAAGGGGAGCGGAATTCCCAGAGCCAAGTGAGCCTGCCAGGCCCCCAAGGGGAGCGGAATTCCCAGAGCCAAGTGAGCCTGCCAGGCCCCCAAGGGGAGCGGAATTCCCAGAGCCAAGTGAGCCTGCCAGGCCCCCAAGGGGAGCGGAATTCCCAGAGCCAAGTGAGCCTGCCAGGCCCCCAAGGGGAGCGGAATTCCCAGAGCCAAGTGAGCCTGCCAGGCCCCCAAGGGGAGCGGAATTCCCAGAGCCAAGTGAGCCTGCCAGGCCCCCAAGGGGAGCGGAATTCCCAGAGCCAAGTGAGCCTGCCAGGCCCCCAAGGGGAGCGGAATTCCCAGAGCCAAGTGAGCCTGCCAGGCCCCCAAGGGGAGCGGAATTCCCAGAGCCAAGTGAGCCTGCCAGGCCCCCAAGGGGAGCGGAATTCCCAGAGCCCGCCACTGCCCCGCCCGTGAGAACTAACTCCCCATGCCCATTGGCTGGGAGCCTGCTGCCGGCCGTTTCTGGGGTGCAGCAGGGTCTGCAGTGCCAGGACAGGCAGGAAGCTGCCTTTGCGCTCCCCCCCTTCCCCCCACAGGAGCTGCTCGGGGTAAGCCCCTCCTGCCCCAGCCCTGACCCCTTCCAAAGCTGGAGCCCCTCCTACAGCCCAAAGCTCTCCTCAGCCCTGACCCCAATGGGGGAGAGGCAGGCGCAGTGCCAGGACAGGCAGGAAGCTGCCTTTGCGCTCCCCCCCTTCCCCCCACAGGAGCTGCTCGGGGTAAGCCCCTCCTGCCCCAGCCCTGACCCCTTCCAAAGCTGGAGCCCCTCCTACAGCCCAAAGCTCTCCTCAGCCCTGACCCCAATGGGGGAGTGGCAGGCTCTGCGCAGTCGCTGGACTGGTTAGCCACACCCCATTTGTTAGAAGCAAGCAGCGCTCGCTTCCTATCCGTGTCCGTCCTTCTGGGGAAGGAGCCCTCGGCACAGTACCTGTCCCTGGACAGCATCATCACTGGCTTCCTGCTCAGAAGAGAAGCTCTCGTACTCCTCTTCGGAATAGTTATCTGAAAGGGAAGGGCACCAAGTCTGAGAGAGCCTCTCCGGAAAGACGGGCCTGGCTTGGTGCCCGGGGTGCCACCGCCACCACCACACGGACCATTCCCGGAGCCAAGGGGCCTGAGCACTCCGGAGGAGACTAAGGGCGCATCTTTCAGTGGCACCAGACAGGCAGGCAGAGGGCGGGAGAGCGAGGACACTCAGCTAACGGCTAGGGAATTCGCCCACAAGCAGAGAAGGCTGCATGCAAGCAAGTCTGGTAGACACCATCACCTCTTCTCCCGCAGGGGGCCAGTCTGGCTTGCCCACCCCTCAGGAAATAAGCAGGACTAAGTGCCGGCTGTCCCAAGAGGCCGGGGGCATCACTCGGCCTCTTGCCACGGGGACACTCGAGCGACCTGCTGCCCCATGCCGTGCACAACTCGTGTGCGAGACCAAATCCAGCGAGGAAGAAAGGAGGCTGCTCCTTCCTAAAACGACACCACGGAAATGGACTCACTATGGACACTGCCTGGTGTGTGCCCATGCAGTGAGCAGCACAGACCTCCCAGCTAAGACAGAAGTGAGCTGCTGTCCTGCCGCAGGGCACGCATGGAGCAGATGCCACAGAGGGAAGGCTCCAGGCACACAAGCCCACATAAAAGCGACAGGCTTCTGCTCCGAGGATGGAAGTTACCACCGCACTTCAACGGTCCCCGGGAGCGTGTTTCGGAGGAGCAGTGTATGTGGCTGCGTGGCAGCCCCAGGGCTCTCTCTCCGCCAGAGGCAGGTGCACCCCTAGGGACACTGCAACTCATCGGTTATTGAACGACTGTTGTGGGCACCGGGCTGGTGGGCCTCTGCTCAGCCCCAGCCTGGCCGCTCTGAGGCTTTCAGATTTCAGCACCGGTAAGAACTGGGACTGACTGGCCCAGAAGGTAACTCCCTTTGGCTGGATCCTACACTCACCACCAGCCTTCTCAGCGCAGGACGACGGGCCTCCCCTGCCACACACAGCCCACGCCCGGAGGCCGAGGATCGCATGTCCCCGGGGCCGCGGCGGCACCCCGCCTCCAAGCACGGGCCGCCACACCCGGTCTCTGCTGCCATGGCTTTTTTTATAAGGTTAAAGAGAAGGCAGCCGAACTCCTAGGAGTCTGTGGCGCTCCAGCTCCTGGCAGCTTCCTTGCCTCATCCAGGTAGTCTCCCTTCCCTGCGGCCCAGCCATGGCCCCCTTGCTCCACGGACCACCACCGCAGAGAGCTCCATTCCTCTGTGGCATCAGCTGGCCACAGCTCAGCTGGCCTGCCTGGCCTTCCTCCCCAGCTACCCACCAGGCGCAGGGGCAGCCCAGCCCCTGTAACTAGCTGGGCCAGGCTCGCCTGCTGCAGTCCAGGGCAGCGGGCTCAGTGTCCACAGAGCCCAGGGACACACAGTACACAGGTACGGGAAGCGGAAGGTGTGCCTCAGGAGAAGCAGCAGAGCATAGGCTCCCAGCAGCCACGGGGTCGGTCTACAGTCCTGGCAGTTATTCCAGGCTAGCTCCCACATGGACACACTCTTCACTCAGTCACCTCTCCATGGGGTAGCTCGATCTACAGGTTGGCGAGGACTGGACTTCACAAAGCGCGGGCGTGGAGGAGAGCAAAGCCCTCCCACGCTACGTGCAATGCTCGGTTTTGGTTCCTCTTCGCCCCTCACCACCTGCTGGGTCAGGAATTTCCTAGACCACACTGCCGTTAAAACACAGTATTTAGTTCTCCTCTTTGTGAGCCCGGCCCTCCCGCAAGGCACTGGGGTGACCCCAGAATGCAGGGAGGGGCAGACACTTCTGCTCTCTGAAGGCCCCACGCGGGCCGAGCGGGACAGCTGTCTGGCTGAAGCACGTGCCAGCTGGAGCCCAAGGAGGATGGGGAGGGATCTGACACGGGGAAGCGAGCCAAGCATTGGCAGGCACAAGGCGGGTTGTTTAGTCTTCTCCTGTTCTAGTTCCATCACAAAAATGTAGGTGGAGGCAGCTTCTGCTGGGGGGCTTGAGGGAACAGGGGCGAGTTCTGCGGGGGGCACAGCTTTACCTGTGGACTTGATCTTCTGGCTGGGCTGCACGGTGCTGTCATCGTGGTCTGTGGGCTGACTGGACAGTGAGAAAATCCAGATCTCTGCTACTTTGGCTGCAGCTTCCTTGATGTTGCTGAACAGGCTCAGCACCTGGCCCCCTTCAGTCGGGTGCTGCATCACCTGCCAGTGGGGAAGCAAGAGGCTTACCTTTAAATGTCGTGGGCCCGCGCTCCACCCACCCACAGCTAAGTTACTTCATGCGTGACTTGGAGCCGCTTGCTCCTGGGTCCAGGAGAACCACCCGCTACAGGCGCTACCTGAAGCTCTTTCAGGAGTCTCTTGGCTTTCAACTTAAGGAATGGCAGGCACAGAAGATCTCTGTGGTGGGTGATCAGACCCCAAGGAGGCATGTTATTGGATTACCCTCCTTATTTGCCAACTTACCTGGGCACTAACTTTAGCAATCGCTACGTAACCCTCCTCTCAGGAACTCTCCAACTAAACAAATGTACATTACAGCCAATTGGAGAAGGCATGTGCAGACCTGGTGTTTTACAGAGCCACATGAACCAGCAAGTCTCTGGTCCCCGCAGCTGGCCCTCTAGATGCGACAATGAGAACTGGTCAAAGCTCAGGCAAAGCGACACCTCTGGGGCTCTGTTAGAAATGGAACTTGCTTCTCCATCCTTTGCCACCATTAATAGGATCATGGTCCCACTGTCCTCTTACAGAGTCTCTTCCATGCCTGTTCCTCTAGTGCTCTTCCTACCTAGCCCAAAACACTTGTACCAACATCTCCCCTCCTGGTCTTTATCAGCGTTCCTCAGGAGTCTGCACCTGGCCCCCTCCTCTTCTCCACCTCCCTCTGATGGTCTCATCCACTCCAGGCTGCAAGTGGCCACCTCTGTGCTGCTGAAACCCCAGCCTACCCCTCCCACTCTTAACCTATCTGTTCCGTTTTGCATCGCTTATCAAAGGGGGAGAAGAAACACTCTTGTAAGAATTAAGGAACTGAACATTCCAGGAGGTACTATTTATAGGGCGCTCAATCAGAGACCGGATGGTTTTTAAGTTAGTGAATTTTTTAAAAAAGCAGTGACTGCTTAACATTTTAAAAGAGATTTGCTGATAAGTTTACCCGGAGGGCTACTCATATTTTTAGGATTTATTTTCCAATTATTAACAATGAACCAAACATGATACAAGACCAATTTAAACAAAAAGATCAAAAGTTAGGATTTAATCAAAATTCAAATGCAGACATGGAAAAGTATTTAAAGTTCAGTTCACACAAAATAAATCATTTGTAGATTTAGTTATCTAAAATCACAGCCCCTTAGCATGACTGTAGTGTTAAACTACTCCATTTTGCAATAAATTCTCCACTGATGGAACAATGTAGGGAATGAAATTTTCAGGAAGATTTGTTAAATCTTGTGTTAAATCAGAACGCTTGACCAATTAACCATTAAATGGGAATTCACATCCCTAGAGTGAAGTGTTAGGAATTGATCCCAAACCTTAAAAGCCAGAAAGGAAGTGAGCCAGCCCTTGGTTGTCCGGCTTACATTCGATAGAAAATACACAGAGTTTCTTACTTTGTATTGTTCCCATGAACACTTTTGCCCTGTAACCCTTGGTACGCCTGAAAGGCAAGACACACGAAAGCCACCCAGGTACCGTATCAGAAAAGAATGGCAACCCTGGATCTGAACTGAGGGAAAAAGGCAAACGCGGACTCTGCCCGAACGCTCCGAGTTGTGCTGATGAGCATTACCTCAGCCATGTTGATGGAGCCCACTGCCAAGGTCTTGTAGCCCAGAATGGTTCGATTTTTGTAGCGTTTCCTCCTTTGCAGCATGACCTGAAGCTTGTTGCCTTCTCTTTTCAAGAAGTGAGGGTACTGAAGGTAGAACACAATTTGAAACAAGTTACACTTCTTGCCACTAGTTCCCAGTGGGGAGAGGCTCTGCCCCTAAGGGGAGATACCTCTCCCAGTCCCAGGGCCTGTCAAGAGGTTTACAGTTCAACTCCTCCTGTGCTCTAGGAGCTCCAGCAGCGGCTGACAGCTCCACACTGGTGTGAAGGAAAGCCGTGCTTTCGGTACGTCAGACTGAAAAAACCTGGCCAGTGTTTCCAGCCAGGACTTCTCTCGTCACCAGCCCGTCCATGCTGCCCTCTCATTACTGAAGAATGGAAAATAACTGCTCAGCTCACGAACACAGCTCTGCTGAAGGGCTCCCAAGGGAGTTCTCACAGAATAGGAGCTCGCTTGGGTGGCTGGTAAGGGAAATCTGTTTGCATAAACCTCTATTCACCTACGTACAGTGGACCGGAAAGGGACTGGCCCGGCCAGCAGGGAAGACTGATCCTCAGTGGAATGTTTGTGTTTCATGTAAATAACTTCCCGAATGGCCAGAGTCTTACGTGCACAACATCCGCCTGGTTATTTCTCCACTAGACAACCTGAATCGCTGCGCTCTGCCAGGCTGACAGCTATCTGCAAGAGTGCTGAGAGCTCTGAAACCATTAAGGCCATTACCTGTTAACTCACAGCAATGAGCTTGAAAAATTCACCACGATTAATTTTTCATCTCAATCAACTGCAGTTTTCACCCAGGCAATAGCAGATCTACTCAATTTTGTGATGCATTTCTACATTTTCAAATATGCAGATTTCAACTACAGCAGAACACAAAGTTGCAAGTATATTTGCACTGTAAAAATGATAAAATGGCGTTTTTCAATTAATCTCAGGCAAGTACTGTAGTGCAATTTTTACTGTAACAGTGCAACTTACTATAGATTTCTTTTGTTACATTAGTACATTCATAACCAAAACAAAGTAAAACTTGTAGAGCCTACAAGTCCTCTCAGTCCTACTTCTCATTCTGCCAATAGGTCAAACACTTTTTATTATAAAGTTTTACATTATTTTATTTTTGAATGCAGTTATTTTTTGTACATAATTCTACATTTTCAAGTTCAACTTTCCTGATAGAGACTACAGTACAATACTTGTATTAAACAGAAAAATACAATTTCCTTTGCCTTTTACAGTGCAAATATTTGTAATAAAAAATAGTGAGTGCTGAACACTGTAATTCTGCATTGCAACTGAAATCAATATATTTGAAAATGCAGAAAACATCCAAACTTGAAAAATGATACTTTATTATTGCTTAACAGCAAGATTATTTTTAATCGCTTGACAGCCTACTACCACCAATGGATCTCTCTCAAATGCAGGCACCAATCCTGCATCTCACAGGTGCTGACAGGCCTGGCAGAGTCTACCGAGCTCTTCAGGCAGACCAAGTTGTGTCCTGTCATCACCAGCAAGGCCAGGCAGTGTGACTGAAGTGCTGTCAGGATTAATACCCTGTGCTTCCAACGTTTTTTAATCGCTTGACAGCCTACTACCACCAATGGATCTCTCTCAAATGCAGGCACCAATCCTGCATCTCACAGGTGCTGACAGGCCTGGCAGAGTCTACCGAGCTCTTCAGGCAGACCAAGTTGTGTCCTGTCATCACCAGCAAGGCCAGGCAGTGTGACTGAAGTGCTGTCAGGATTAATACCCTGTGCTTCCAACGTTTACTGCTGCAAACTTTTGACTTTCAGGGTCAAGTATCAGCAATAGGAATTTCCTCTCAAGTGTCTGACACACAGACCCAGGGGGGCACAATACCCTGCAACACTCCTCATGGTTCATGTGACCTGGAGACACTGGGCCCTAGGAATTCAATCAGAACTCTGCAGATCCGGTTTGACTATGAACGAGTAAACCCATCTGAAAAGGGAGTGTGTGCATGTGGGACAGCACCGTTCCCACCTAGGAATGTGGTGTACACAAAGGGCTATATTACAAAAATAGCCAGGTTGCAAAGCCAAGCACTTGGCCTGCCTGCGCATTTGCATTATGGCACAGCCTCTACATACATGATCACGTACCATTGGTCTACTGGGGGCATGCAGTGCCCAGGATGGACTTCGCTCATGGAATGAGCGGCCCAACAAGGAAAACCATTGTGTGTCAATGCACGCAGTAAATTAGCCCTAGGCCACACGATTCAAGCCCCACTCTGAATCGAATTAACAACTGCCTGTGGGCTTTTCTACGGTGCTCCTCACTAATGCATGAGAAGCACTGACACGACAAGGAATGGACGGTCACAAGACCCTAGGGCAACGAGGGGTGCTGTCTCTCCAGATTACAGAGGGGGGCCTGAGGCACGAAGCGTGGACAGGAATTGTAGGTGCTCGGTGCCTGGCTAGGACCCACATTCACAGAGTACACAGCACATCACCTCAGATGTTCAAAGCGCATCTCCCACTGATTTTAGCTGCAGCTGAGAGGGATCGGCACTGCTAAAATCAGATCCCAGAGCTCAAGTCAGCACCAGGACAACAAGGAACATAATTAGACATCAGCAGCTTAGAAAAGAGGCGACTAAGGAGGGATATGATCGAGCTCTATAAAATCATGACTGGTGTGGAAAAAGTTAATAAGGAAAAGTCATCTACATAGTCCCACAATACAAGAACTAGGGGTCACCAAATGAAATTAATAGGCAGGTTTAAAACAAACCAAAGAAAGTTTTTCTGCACTCAGCGCACAGTCAACCTGTGGAACTCCTTGCCAGGGGATGTGGTGAAAGCCAGGACTTTAACAGGGTTCAAAAAAGAGCTAGATAAATCCATGGAGCTATTAGCCAGGCTGGGTAGGAATGGTATCCCTAGCCTCTGTTTCTCTGGAGGTGGGTGATGGGAAGGATCATGTGTAAGGTTGCCAGGTGTTCGGTTTTGAACCAGACAGTCCGGTATTTCAGCTCTCTGTCCAGGAAACAAATTGAGAAGATACCGGACATAGAAATGTCTGGTATTTTCTAATTAAGTTTTTATTATCATGAGTATCAGTACGTAGCTGTGTACTGCCTGGCTGGTAGACATGTAGACATGCTCACACTGCATGAGCGTGTCTACCAGCCAGGCAGTACGCAACTACGCACTAGAGAGGAGGGGGGGCAAGGGGAAGAATCCTTGGGGCCAGACTCGCCCATGAGCCCCGCCGGGACTGTGTGCGGGACGGGCAGCACCCCGGGATCTGTGTGCGCCCAGGGCAGCCCCGTTCCCTGATGGCCGGCCTGTTCCCCTACAACCCCCTCCCCCCCACCCTCTCCAGCCTGCCCCGCTCCCCAGTGGCCAGTCCTGCTCCCTGGCGGCCGGTTCCCCCCGGCCAGCCCTGCTCCCCCCGACCCTCTCCCGGCCAGCCCTCCTTCCTACCGGCTGATTCCCTCCCCCCCCCACATACACACCCCGGCCAGCCCTGCTCCTCCCAACCCGCCCTCCTTCCCGCTGGTCGGTTCCCCCCTGGCCAGCTCTGCTCCCTCCGACCCTCTCCCGGCCAGCCCTCCTTCCTACCGGCTGATTCCCTCCCCCCCCCACATACACACCCCGGCCAGCCCTGCTCCCCCCGACCCTCTCCCGGCCAGCCCCGCTCACCTCCCAGTTGGTCCCCCCCATTTGAGATCAAGTGTGTCCGGTATTTTATTTAAACTGTCTGGTAACCCTAATCACGTGAGGATTCTTTGTGATTCCTCCCTCTGGGGCATCTGGCACTGGCCACTGTGGGAGACCGGACACTGGGCTGGTTGGCCTTTGGTCTGGCCCCGGCTGGCCGCTCTGATGTTCATGTCTTAAGCAGCTTGCCCAGCAGCTGTGTGGCAGGGGAAGGATGGAATCCAACTCTCCATGCCAGCACAACTGCACTAGCCAAGCTCTCCTGCCTCCTTCACACCTCTGCAACAACCGAGAGAGGCCTTGACACTCCAGCCACCACAGCACAGCCGTGGCGCATCCCGAGCGCGCGGTCCGTCCCCTCGCCGCGCGAGGCGGGGGCGGCAGAAACGGCATGTGATCGTGTCTCTGGAGACCGAAACCCACTCACAACTGGGGCTGTGCAGCCCTACGGCAGCCCCTTCCGACATGTTGAGAAGTTGAATTTGCCAGGGGGGTGCCCTGTGAATGCGGTGGGTGCATCATTCCCCAGGCGTTTAGAAAGCAAAGCTGAAGGAAGGAAGAGCCATCGTGTGGCACCCTTCGGGGATCAGCACAGGTCAGCAGTAGGGGTGGGTCCTCTGGCGCCACCACAGACCTCTGCAACCTGCACTAAGGGCGTACCCCTGAGCGCTGCCATCCACTGGCAGCAGCTCAGAGGGGACGGGACATTTTGCCAGTGGGTTTCCTGGGCGCCTGCTGACAGCAGAGGAAAGGTGAAACTGAGGGGAATCCTGGGTTCCATTCCAGGCTCTGGGGAGTTCCCGGGCAGGAGCAAATCAGCAGAGTGAAGGGCACAGGCATGGAGCAAGGTGCACAGGTCAGGGGACACACGACAGTACGATTTAAGGGGCTCACGGTATCGGGGCCAACAACCCTCAGCCTAGAGCAGTGTTTCCCAAGTGGGGTTCTGCGGAACCCCAGGGTCCTGCCCAGGGGAAGTCAGGGCTCCGCGAGAAAATACGATCTCTGAAATTAACATGCCCCTTCCGGAAAAGGGGCCAGTGTAGACGTAGCCCAAATGAAATTAATGGGTAGCAGGTTTAAAACTAATAAAAGAAAGTTCTTCTTCACACAGCGTGTAGTCAACCTGTGGAACTCCTTGCCAGAGGAGGCTGTGAAGGCTAGGACTATAACAGAGTTTAAAGAGAACCTAGATAATTTCCTGGAGGTTAGGCCCATAAAAGGCTATTAGCCAGGGGATAGAAATGGTGTCCCTGGCCTCTGTTTGTCAGAGGCTGGAGAGGGATGGCAGGAGACAAATCGCTTGATCATTGTCTTCGGTCCACCCCCTCTGGGGCACCTGGTGCTGGCCACTGTCGGCAGACTGGATACTGGGCTAGATGGACCTTTGGTCTGACCCAGTACGGCCGTTCTTATGAGTGCTGGAGGCTTTGGAGATGGAGGAGAGGCCAGGGCAGCCACTCCCATTATGCAGCTCTCTTTGTTCTGTTCATCCTCCACCGACTGCCTGACTCCTAAGCACACGGCCCCCTGCCTGCAGGTCTGCCCTGTCTGCACTAGGGTTAACTGAATAGTCGAGTAACCTCTTGAATTCTTATCGGTTACTCGACTAGTCTATAGTCGCCGGGGGCCGGGCTGGCCGCCAGTGCGCTCCCATCCCACTCCCAAGGAGCCCCCTGCAACTCCACGCTGCTGCCGCTGAATCCAAGGCAGCAGCATTGCGAGCCCGGTAGGAACTGGTCTGTGAAAGAAGCCAGTTTAAAAACCAGCTCCCCTTGCGGACCGGCTGCCTGTCGCCCCACAATGCTGCCTCTGATCCAGCGGTAGCAGTGTGGAGTGGCAACAGAACCTGTCTGGAGGGTCTGAGCTCCTGGACCCAGAGTGAGCTGGGACTGAGCCAGGCTCCTAACACACTTCAAATGCAGAGCCTCAGCAGGGGTAGGTTCTGGACCCATCAAGTCCGGACAGATCTGGAATGCTGGCCAGCCTGCTAAAAAGCAGGAGGAATGCGTGTAGTCTAGAGCATTAACCGAGAAGCTTTTGCTTGTCAGTGAATCGGTTAATCGACGACACATTCCATCCCTAGTCTGCAGCAACTGAAGGGAAAGTTTCTCAGCCCTGCAGCACTACGGGATGCACAGAATCCAAGCTAGGGACCGGACAGCGTGCAGGGGAGGAATAACCACAGACCCCAGCACAGGTTATTCTGCGCACCTGCTGGAGGGAAGGCTGCTGCCGCTGCCGCTCTCGGTGCATGCCCAGGACAATCGTCACGGATTTTAGCTGCCAGCCTCCAATGCCACACACCAGGGGGGAGCTTGTAACTTGGCCAGAACTGATTTCCACCAGAGCAGCAGAGCACAGCTCCCACTCCAGCGCTTGCCCTGCCAAGCGTCAAGCCGTGCGCCAGAGCATGCAGGTGCTGATGCTTCTCAAAACCAGCGGGATGAATTGCACACCAGCAAAACAACCCGCTTTCCTCTCGGAAGCGGCTGAAATGCCCCAAACCTTCAGCCTGAGGCAGAAACTCCAGCGCATAGGAAGTTTCCACCGGAACGGCTGCAAAGCGTCGCCTAGCGGTGCCATTGCCAGAGCCAGAGCAGCCCATAATTATTTCAGGGGAACATTCACAGGGAGGCCATTTAACACAAAATCATATGAGCACATTCACTTTGGACTTTGTTACTAGGTTACCTGTAGTGAAAAAGTTAGTGCAAGTTCGGTTTCCACGTGTCCGCTTGGTGGCAGCACAATTTCATGCGACCGCAGTATACGCTTCGAGCCCTGCACAAAGAAAACCTGGTCAGGTAATGGTCTGAGCATCAGTGCAGGCTTGTCCCTCTCCCCCTTTGGGAACTGGCCCCTCCAATCTGGCTCCTTGCCGGGATTTGGACCCGGCCCCTAGGGGGCGCTCTTACGGTGAGACAGCAGGAGAGGCCCAGTGTTACCGACACCTCGAGAATGGAGGTCCCCGGGGGGAGGGGGGTCCTTTAAAAAGTTGACATCTGAGCATTGACTTAATTCAGCTTTGAAGCCTTACCGTGCAGAAAAATGCTGCTTTCCCCTTCTGTGTTGCACTTCAACACCGTACCGTATTGGCCGTTTTATTGTGCGCCACTGCTGCTGCCTGATTGGCTGCCTCTGGTTCCAAACGAGGGACATGGCTGAGGGGTCAGTATGTAACCCCGAGGTTCTACCCCATGGTGCAGATGGGTGAAAGCTAGCCCTGCCCTGGCCCTGACACCTCCGAGAGCCTGGCCCACAGCCACGCTTCCCTGAGGGGGGCAACAAGCGTACGCCCCAGCCGAGCAGGAGCACAAAAGAGCTCTGGGCTGAGCAGCAGACAGGCTGTGAGTGTGAAGTGGGCTTCCTGTTCAGGGCCCGAGGCCAATTCAAACAGCCAGCACAGGTGCCAATCGGGGGGAGAAGAGGCCTCATCCGAAAGCAAGGGAGGTCATTTGCAGCAACGGCCCACGAGCAGCACGCTGGATGTACCACAGACTAGTACCACTGACTGAGGACATGGGAATGCCTCCTTAGGGATCTATGGGGAAGTGAACAACAGTAGGTATGGAAATCTTAAGACTGGGATAGGACAGAGGTCTATAAAACCATGACTGGTGCGGAGAAGTTATCTACTTTTCCCATAACAAAAGAACTAGTGGTCATTTGAAATTAATGGGTAGCAAGTTTAATACAAATGAAATATTTCTTCATGAAACGTACAGTCAACCTGTGGAACTCCTTGCTAGAGGATATAGTTAGGGCCAGGACTTTAACGGGTTCAAAAAAGAGCTAGATAAAATTCATGGAGGATATGTCCATCAGTGGCTGTTAGCCAGAAAGGATAGGAATGGTGTCTCTGAACGTCATTGGAATGGATCACTTGATTCCCTGTTCTGTTCATTCCCTCTGGGGGACCTGGCATTGGCCACTGTCAGAAGACAGGATACCGGGCTAGATGGATCTTTGGTCTAACCCTGTACAGCTGTTCTTATATAAAACTGTAAGCTGCCCCTTGACATTTCTGGGGGACTTCTTGGTCCTGGTGACATGCTCTGAAGCAGGCTGCCTGGTGTGACTCCTGTGTCTGCCCTCGGCCAGACCTGTAGGGTATTGGTGGACGCACAGGGCCTGGCCTACCAATGGGAGAACTGGAAACCCCACCCCAGGAGCAGCCAAGCTCAGAGGCCTGGCACCTCAGACGACAAAGGGGAGACTGGCTCCCAGCCTCGCAGCCATGACTGTTAACACGGCTGTTCTGCCCCTGCCAGAGCGCCTTCCAGCTGTGACAGCGTGGCTGTCCTCACTGCCCTGCAGAGGCTAAGTAAGAAAGGACTAACGTAGCTGCCTCCTGAATCCATCACTGTTTCCAAAGCAGACAAAAGGGACTCGCGTGTCCGACAGAGCCTCAGGAACTAGCAGAGTCCTAAGGGGCCTCCCCTGCATGGGCACAGGCCTGGGAGGGGTTTGCAGACACAGGCTAGTTAAGGAGGAGCTTGGTCAAGCTCTTCGGAAGGAATCAGGGATGCGTCTGTAATGCTGTATCCTCTCAATTCTCTTTAGAAAAAGGTGGATGAGTCCAGCACATCACTATCCGCTGCTACTGGATCTGAAACGGCCTTTGGATCCGGGCCTTGAGCGCACGTGCTCCACGTGACCCCAGAAGAGTCAGCCCCGCACCGAGCGTCAATGGACCAAGCCCACAGCCCTATTGACTGCACGTGGTAAGTCAGTCAGCGGTCCACCTGCAGTTAGCTCAGCACAGGACAGCAAAGGCGGGTGGCGACCAGGTTGGCACTCCCGTACAAGGCAACAGCTGTAGCTGCCACACCCCTTAATGGCTTCCTGGAGATTATGCAAGGCCAGATCCATGATGGAGGAAAGGAAGGATGGTTCAGTGGTTAGTTCTAGCCTGGGGCTTCAGAGCAGAGGGTTCCAACCTTGTTCTGCCACAGACTTCTCGTGGGACCTTGGGCAAGTCACTTAGTTTATCCATGCCCCAGTTCCCATCTGTACAACAGCCCTGCCCTGCCTCACAAGGGGGTTGTGCAATTAAATACGTTACAGGTTCGAGGGTCACCAATGCCATGGTGAGAGAGGCCAGAGAAGTACCCAAACTGTTTCCACTATGTATTCCATCCGCTTCCCCCCTCCCCTCCCAAATACACTTAAAGCTCTCTAGGAAATTGCTGCTTTTTCTGTTTTACTGCCCAGAGCAGAGGATTATTATTTTTTAAATCTGAAGGAAAACGCTTCCTATCATGAGAACAGCTGCCTCTTCAGCCCGGCGTGCTCGTGGTGCTGTGTGCCGCTCACATCTGCTCCGCCTCAGGAAGGGCGCACATAAGTGACAGAACCATCACTTGTGAGACACGAGCCCCTGACGGGCTGAGCACGCATGCCAGCGTGCAGATCTTCTGGGGCTGCTTATGGAGCCTTGGCACCCTCACCTGTGAGAAAGGCTCTGTGAACCCTGCTTGGGACACCCCCATGGGGCAGGCACTGCAGGGCTCCTTCTCTGCCTCCTGCAAGCGTTTCCTCTGGCCAGTGCCTGAAAACCTCAAACCCCCCAGCTGCCAGCTTCCTTCAGTTCCCTACTGGGTCACAGAGGGGAGCTAGGGGGGCTCCCAGAAGCACCCCCATGGGTGCAGGTTCTCACACACCCACACCCACCCACCCCACCATCTTCCTGGCTCCTCCTACCCATAGAATGCGAATGTTGCCGCACAGGAACGGTGAGCTGTGTGATTAGCTTCACAAACCCTGGCTCTGCTTTTCTAGCAGCTGCATGCGGTTTTTCCCTCAGCCCCCTCCTCGTAAGGGGTGCTGAAATGTGTAGCCCGGTATCTGAGCACAGGGGGTCTGGGAAGCAAACTCACCCATTTGGAAGGGCACGAAGCACACGCGCTAAGCAAGCTGGTTAGGGACTGGAGGGGAGGGAGGAAGCCTGTGCGGAGAACGTTTTCTGATATACAGAGGAGGTGACAGAGCTGGTAGCCAAATCCCAGCAGAGCCGCGAGGGCCTGTAGCAGAGGACGACGTGACAGCGTCACGCGCACAGATGAAGCTGTAGCAGTTTCCCGCAGCTTGCAGAGTGGCAGTGGCAGCTGGCTGAATTTGCAGCTCGGTATTTGAGCGTTCTGGTTTGCTTGCAAGCGAACAGCCAGTCTAAACTTCCAAGCGCACGTTGGTTTCGACATAACTAAGTTCTCTGCAGGGTTTCATCAGCCTCAGCTTGAGATTAATGAGGTTTGATGCCTGGGAATCGCCACTGCTCTCAAAGAATGCGTAGGCTGTTCAGTGACAGGGATCCCGGTAGGCTAGGCGGAGCTGAGCTTACAAACAGACCAGGAACAGACCCCACTCTTCCCTGCCGACACACACAGATACATGTACATAGCGTACCGGTCCTGGGGGAATTCTGCAATTTTACTATGGCTCCAAATGCAACATTCCCTCAGGAATAGCGTGTGCAGAAAACCAATGCATTCATTTACACACGTACCGGTCCATAGAGCAGTTACAGTGCAAGTTCCTATGCTTTAAAATACACTTTAAAAATCAAGGAATCTCCATTCTCTTGCTTTTTGGTGAAAACAATTTCATATGTCCCCTTACTGCCTTGAAACCTATGCAGTTACTTTGCTGTCAGGGCCTCTGTGGCAGAGCCATTGGTTAAATGAGTCCGTAATTGTTAGGAAGCAAAAAAGCACAAGGAAAATCCTTTGGAAGTGCAAGAGGGAATGTGTCTAACTCCCATCCTTCTAAAGCTTCGTTTGACTGGCCCTAAGCTACCAAGTAGGGAAAACCCCTCTGCTCCGCCCAGACAAGATGTAACATGTAAAAGAGGACATGAGGCTGCGTTTTGGTAAAGTTGAGAAAAGAGAAAGGCAGTTTTGTAATACAAAGCTACTCTAGACCTTAGGGAGGGAGAGTCTAGCTTACAGCTATGTAAATACTATGACAGAGGAAGAACCCAAGAAAGGGAGAAAAAAAAAAATCAGGATCTTACTCATGTCCCTAAGACTGCACAGCTACCTTGACATACTGTATTTGTGGAACAGTGTGTGATTGTCTCTTTGGACATCTGCATTACAAAATGCACCCTTCATTTTCATGTTTCTTGACGGCTCAGCACTCCCCACTCGGCTGCACTCCCCACTTACAGCGAAATATTAATGCAACTTACCTGCATTTTGACGGCAATGACCACAGAAATGAGTTCTTTGTCCAGTTCCTTTAAGACAACCAGTTTCTTTAAAGTCAAGGTGCACAACCTGCGGGCGAGAACACAGGAGAAGCGGCTGTGAGTTACGCCTGGAGAAGGAAAGGATACCAAGCGCAAGCCCCCCCGAAATACAGCCGTGCTCTTATGCAGCGGAGAACAGAGTAGACTCCTGACCCACAAGCCAGGTTAAAAAGCTACAAGATCTTTAGGCCAGACCGCCAATCGAATTTAGTGCTGGCTGCTTCAGTTTGCAACTCCTGGCCTACACAGATCTCCGTCTGTTTGTCAAACCTTGTGGAAAAGACTACGCAGGCCTGGCCACCCCATTTCACTTCTCTCTTGCTTGGCCACTGGGGAAATAAGACGTTGCTACGTGTGGAGCCTGTTGCTGTGCTACTAGCAACACCCAGGAGTAAGGGGCAATCAACAGGTAGTAGAGCCCATCACCTCCTGCCCATGTGTGCCCTACCTGTACTCCTGGGAACAGCAGGTAGCCTGTCTCTGGTGGAGGGTCCAGTGCATTTCCCGCCCCAGCAAGAGAGGGAAGTGAAACTGATCCACACTGTGTTGGTTTCATCCCTGCAGGCACTGCATCAGCCCAAGACCCTAGCGCTGGGAGGTCACTGTGTGGCTGCTGCAGGTGGCCCCATCATGGGCCTTGGTCACAGACTCAGCAAGCTCTCTCTAACTCCCAGCCTAAGGCCACACATGGCCACGATTCCGTATGTTCTTCTGCCCACATTGTCTGTAGCTGCCATGGCTCCTCTCCCTTCCTGCTGCTCATCCCGGCAGCAGGACCAGCAGCACACACTCCCTGCTGGGAGCAGGACAGCTACGGAAGGCAGCCACGTGCCCCACAGTAGACCAAACCAGGGACTGGCGAGTCAGTGCACGCAGCCCCGAAGACGAAAGTGCCACCCTCGCAAGCCCTCCTGCTGGCAGATCCCGGGGGGGGGGGGGGGGGG